ATGTAAAACAATGAAATTGAGCCCATAAACAAAAATTTAACTTAAAAATGGCACATCTGAGCCCATCTTTTAGTGTTCCAATGAAATAGATATCCTATATACTTTATTTGAATGTAGTTCTGGATCTGGAGGTTGGACAGTCCACAGCATACTATAACATTTGATCAGCATCTGGGAAGGACCTTTTTTTATTGTGTCATAACAGGCTGGAAGGCATCTGAAGTGGAGTTAGGCAAGGCCAAGAGCCCTTTCCTCGAAACCAGGGGTGCTTTGATAGGGTCCTGACCTTTTGAACTCACCTAACCCTAATTACGTTCCAAAGCCATATGCATTCTGGAATTCCTTTGCACATAAATTCTGTGAGTCACAGTCAAGCTGTGACAAATGTAACTCTAAGCCTCATTGAAAGATGCTAAACTGCACAAGTATTATTAGAGAAAGCAAAGGGAACCTGCAATTCCTTAGATATGGCAATGGTTTTTTAAAATAACATAAAAACATAATGAACAAAAATGGTAAGTTGGACTTCATTAAAGTTACATGTTTTGTGAATCAGATGCCTTAAGATACTAGAGAGATAGCCCACAGAATGGGAACAATATTTGCAAATCATATATATGAGAGTAATTTAATATCAAAATACATAAAGTCCTACAATTCAACAAAGTTTAAAAACAGCCCCGTTTTAAACTGATTAAGTGATTTGACCACATATTTCTCCAAAGGAGACATACAAATGACCATCAAGCAAAGAACTTATTCCATATTATTGAACATTTGAACAGGAAAATCAATAAAATACATTTCACATGCCTACAAATGCTTGTAAAGTTTTACATGAAAAATAAGAAAGAGGCTGCCACTGGCATGAAGAATTGGACCACTTGAACATCACTAGGGAAAAAGTATAAAACACAGCTATGTTTGTGGCTATAATTTCACCATTTCTAATAAAAGTTAAAGCTAGCTTAGGAAGACATCCAGCTAGCTCTTTATACAAAGGCCCTGATGACTTTATAGAGATCCCACCCTCACAAGCTCATGTGATCCTGATTACAACTTCTAGATCTAGATAAAACAAAATTAGAAACAGGTGGTTGAATAGACACTTAAAGGACACATTCACAACAGGTTTATTTACATTAGTCAAAGAGTGACCATGATCTTAGTGTCATTGAAATTCAACAGATAAACAAACTGAAAACTATACATACAACAGACTATTGTTCAGCCATGGAATGAGTGGGGTTTCTATTTTGGCTCATTTGTGAAGAGCTTCCTAGGAGAATAGAGCCGATAGGTTACATATGTAATTGTAAAAGTGGGCTTATTAGATTGCCCTACTCAACAGTGGCTCTCTGATGCTAGAGGCACAGATAATTCATTTACTTCTCAATAAAGGTAACAAAATGTCTCAGAAGAAACAGGACCAGTGTTATAGACTGAGCTTGAGGGAAAAAAAAAAAAAAAAAAAAAAAAAAAAAAAAAAAAAAAAAGCTTTTACATTCCTGTAAAATGGCTGATGACATTTCCTAGAAAGACTGAAGCTGTCTGTGGTCTGCCATCTATGGGTGAGGGCCCAGAGCAGACACAATTCACTCAGAAGGAATGGAGCTAGCACACACTGGCTGCCTTTGTTTTGTTTTTGTTTTTTTGTTTTTCTTTTTTGTCCAGTCTGGAGTGGTGATGCCCACAGTTAGGGATGGTTTCTCCTCCTCTGTTGTTCTGCTACATACTAGTCCCCTCTCTGTCAGCATCCTTAGAGACATAACCAAAACTGTGCCTCACTGGTTCCTTAAGCATCACTCTAGATTCAGCAAAAAAAAGTCTACATGAATCAGCCAGTCCTAGTCCATTTCCTTTCCTGAGACTTTGGGGCCTCTAGTGGGGTAACACATTGAAGCAGAGCTTATGGTGTTGGTGGGAGCTGATCAACTCAAGACTCAGACTCAGAAAGGGCAAGAAAACAGGAAGTTCTCAGAACTCTTCTCAAGGACACAGTTTCAGTGATTCAACTTTCTCCCACTAGGCCTCACCATCAAGGTTCTACTATCTTTCTTTCAGTAGTGCAGTAGGTTGAGGACTGAACGTGTAGGCTACACTCACCTAAACCACAGCAAGATGATGTAGCGAAACACCTTTGGTGTTTGTATTTGCTCAAACAGTATTGGAAGAACATATAAGAAACCAATTAATTTTTAGGTAACATTATTACTTAGGCTTTTCATGCTAGTGTTCTACACTAAACTTTTTATGGGTTAAAGTGCAAAAAATACTTTCCCTCTTGCTAGCAAATTGATAATCCTAAGTTTCCTGAATTCACTCTGTCTCTGGGTCTTATCTTGGGATGGATTGCTGCCCTCCAACCCAATCAGTCACTCTTAAACCTAGGAAGCACAAAGGTCTTGTAGGCTAGCACAGAATAGGATTGGATGGTAGCTATAAGGAAGAGATCGTGCCTATTAAGCCTTTCCATATCCTTTTGCCTCTTGGATCATGTAAACATAGTACATATTTACAGCTACAAAATGTATAAACTAAAATAAGTAATAAAGCACAAACTAGCTTTAAAAAATGTCATCAGTTAAGATATTTGACCTACATTTGTACATGTAAATTATACTGGCACAAAGAACAAGAAAGTTTGAGGAACAACACATCCTGTAGAGAAGCTTGAGTATCCAGAAAGAGACTAGAAAGATGTGAAAGAACCACTGTGTAGTTATCAATAGTTTCAACTATTTCTGTAATGGAGATAAGTTGATCCAAGTTATACTGTTTTAAATTAACAGAATTATTTAAAAACCTTCATGTGTTAGAAAAATAACAGAAAACTGGAGGGAGGTGTGGAGAGTAGAAAAAGATGGAGTAGAAAGTTAAAGATTTCCCAAAGAGAAGTAATGGCAGGGAAACCAGTCGTGGTGAAAATTCTGAAGAGAACCTATCTGATACTATTGAGGAACACAGCTTGCTGATGAGAATCTGGTTATAAGAGGAGAAATAAAAGATGACTCTAGAGTTTCCAGATTGGTTGACGAATAGAGAAAAGTTTGACCTTTATTCCAGGGAGTTCTAAATGGAACATTATTAAGAGTTTTGATTGTGTAAAATGTAAATCTATTGAGAGGCAAAGAGAAAGTATGATGTAATATGGACTTCAACTGAAAAGTTATTATGTAAGTGGCAATGACTTTTTCCATTTTATTTAGAATGACTAAGAAGATATTTTCTGGGAAAAAGGATCATTTATACATAAATGAAGGCTTGGCTCAAAGAACAAAATTGTAATGCCATGGCTACAGAATCTTGTGAGCCAAATTTTGCAAACACATTTGTCTTTCTCTAAAACAAGTTAGGCATATAACATACAGAAACAACATCAGGGTGATGCCATCCATGCACTTTTTGTTTCTATAAGGAAATAAAACATAAATATGACTTATCAAGATACATGTCATTTTTCCCCATTAATAGCACAGTACTCTTAAAAATGATAGTTTCCTTAGATTGGAAACTAGGGCAAATAGAAGATTCATAAAATCATTATGACCAAAAGGGATTTTTTAATAACCACTATTTTGTGTTATTTTGTGTCCCCTCAGCTTCACCTTTTTCACCACCAGCAATTACACTTTTCATGTAGTATGTATTCATATTCCTTATTCCATTGCTTTATTTTTGCAGGATTATTCCCCCCATCTGGTCATTCGTGGTTGACATTTCTCAGAAGCTGGAATTAACCCTGCTTCTGTTTTCTCTCCTAACTTCTAGAAAAGTTCACCATGTGAGGCTTCAATTTCCAACTACTTACCAATAATTTCTCCACTAGTCCCTCCCTCTGTTGTCTAGATCTTTCCTGTTGTCTGTAAGTACAAATAACCTGTTTTTTTTACACTCTCCATATATACGCCTCAAATACACCCCACAGTACTTAGATACAAAGAATTATATTCGGTCACTTCCTTCAAATTTGCCATGTTCTAGTGCTCCCATCTGTATTATTGGGTTTCTGTTGCTGGAATAAAAATACCTAAAACCAGTAGGGTAGAAAAAGGATTTGTTAGGCTTATGTCCATCATTTAGGGATGTCAGGGAACTCAAGGAAGCAACCTAAAAGCAGGACCTGAAGTCAAGACCATGGAGGAATGTTGCTTGCAGACTTGTCTTCCATGGGTTTCTCAGCTTGCTTTCTTACAACCCAGTACCATGTGACTAAGGATGGCAGCACTCAGTAGGCCGGGCCTCCCCTCATCAATCAGTAATCAAGGAAGTACCCCCACAATATGCCCATAGGCCAGTGTGATAGAGAAAATTCCTCAGTTGGGATTCCCCCTTCCCAAGTGATTCTCTTTTGTGTCATCTGGCAGAGACCAGCACAGCTGATCCCTAGTCAGATTCTCGACTCAGAATATCACATAAACATTCTGATAGCCTTTGCTTCCCTCTAAAATTTTACAAGCCAGGCAACCAACAGCTGCCCCTCTCTCAACAAGCCTATTGTACAAGTTCTCCCAAGAGGTAATTAAGCTCTGAGCATTCAGAGGCCTCTCCTAGCACAAAGCTCTCAAATCCTTCCACAATAGTCCCAAGAACAATGGTCAAGTCTGTCACAGCAGTGTCCCACTCACTGGTACCAACATCTTCATTGTTTAGGGTTTTGTTGCTGGGGTTGTCAATATTAAGTAAAACCAGCTTGGAGGAGGAAATCATTTAGTTTACAGTTTATTGTCAATGGGGGAATTTAAAGGCAGGAAGTGCAGGTAGAAACATTTTGGAAGGAACTAAAGCAGAAAGCATAGGAAAATATGACTTACTGGCTTGATTTCCATAGCTTGCTCAGTTTGCTGTGTTACACAGCCCAAGACTCCCTGACCAAGGATGGCATCACCTACAGCCGGATAGACACTCCCAAATTAATCATTAATCAAGTAAATAAACACACACACATTCCTGTCCTGCGCGATCGTCTCACCAGCAAGAACGACGCAGAACACTCAGGATCCTTCTGCAGTAAAGCTTTAATGCATCTTGAGAGGGAGAGCATAAGCTTACAGAGTGGAGACCCCGACATTAACTTGTTTACCATTCGGTGCCTGCCGGATGCAGGCGCCATCTTGTAATAGAGAATACAGGGAGGGCTCTCTACACATTCCCATAAGCCAGTGTGATAGAGGCAATACCTCAACTAATGTTGCCTCTTCCTGGGTGACTCTAGAGTTTTTGTCAAAAGAATTTGACAAAACTTGTCTCTTGTCTTAATGAAATTACCATTCTTTCATGTATCAAGTAGACAAGTCAGAATTCTAGTGCCCTTTTAACGTTTAGTTTTTATTAAATCCCGGCATCAACAAAACCAGTCAGCCATGCTTCCTAACTGTCTTACATCTGTTTATTTATTTCTGCACTGTCAACCACCACTCCAAACTACCAATATCTATCTTTCTCCTAGATTATAAAGGTTTTGTAGCTACTCCAATTGTCTTCCATAGTGTGAAAAAAAAAAAAAAAAACTATTGAATGGAATTGTTTAGCTCCGTGAAGGAAGCAGAAGGAAATCTTACATTGGTTTCGAAATTTCCTCTGTAAAAGATGGCAATTACTCAAATACGAAAAGGGAACATGTATGAACATCACATTGTTAATATTAATCATTAATAGTCACCATCCCCTGCCAGGACACATTATATACCTTCATTAGCAGTCAGAGCCTCCTATCTGGTTGGATAAGTGGGTTGAGAAGTGGTTGAGTACTTGTACAGTCAAGTTACACCTGCTTTGAATCTGCCTTTCCAAAGCCAGAGCTTCCCGTCTGAATTTTCCCTGTCAGTCTCTCCCAGATGATCCTGGGATCATCTGAAAGCCTTGGGAGGCCACGATGTGCTTCTCCAACTCGGGTGAGAAGGTCTGTAGTATGAAGGTGTTCGTCGATTTTCTCTTGGAGTAGAAGCGAGTCCAGTAGAGTCTTCCTTCGTTTCAGGAAGTCAGACTGAGCCAGCTCTGCTCTTTTGCTATTGCAACTGGGACATTGCGAAGAAACATGTTGCTTAATAGCCCCTATGTGCGCTAGAGTCGCCCTTGTGTTCTTCAAATAGACCCTGTTCAACAGTGCATCAGGTACAGTACAACTGAAAGCATCTTCCTGTGAAGTCTCTGCAATCCCTCTAAGCTGCAGCCTTTTGTGTCTGCTACTTTTCTTTGCTCCTGAATCCTCTCTCTGGTGGATCAAGTTTACTTTATTAGTACAAAAAGACTGCAGGGCATTCAGTTCTTCGGCGGATCCCCCAGGGGTTTCTGTTGGGAGTCTACTGTCGAGTTGGTATCTTTTGGAATTAATTTCTTTGAGCTTGATGTGGTTGATCCACTTTTCACTCAGCTTCTGTAAGACGGAAAGTTCTGGCTGCTCCTCTCGTTCTTCTGAACTTGTACTTGCCTTCTCGCTCTCTAGTGGGCTCTCAGAGGTGTGGAAACAGGATTGCTGCTCTCTGGAGGAGCCGATGGAACCAGAACTCAGCACCTCATCAGTACAGGACCTGAGGATCTCGTCAGAAAGCTGAGTAGCACAAACATCCGTCTGGGCCGGGCCTCCTTGATCTTCTGAGTCGCCCGGCTCCTGAGCAGATAGCCATTCCATTGTCTTGGACTCGGTTCCTCATCTGCTTTGTTCTGGTCAAAAATGGACCTGGAATCAATAAAGATGCGCCGACAGGACACGATCTTTGGTGTCTCTGGTCGCCGCGAGCCAAAGCTTCCGGGTATGCCTTTCCTGGTTGCCGTGGCATTGCGCGCCGGTCATGCGCAATGAGTAGTTTCTGGAGGCTCACCCCTCCCTCTCTTGCCTGGGCAGGCTCAACAGTGTTTTTATTCAGCTCTTAGGCCTCCCGCCGAGCGTGCTGCTTAAAACACGGCAATTCAAGGGAAAAGGCTTCTAACTTCTTTCCCTCCAGGTCAGACCAGGCTGTGCATGTATGTGAGTTCCCTAGAGACCGACAGGTGGTCTGTGACAAAAGAAATAATACAGCTTGCTTCACGGAATACAGCTTTTACAGAAAGTGCTCGCTAGAGTCTGCAGCAAAAACATGCCTGGCTTAGAGCCAGAAGCTCATTGTAGACATGCCTCAGGACAAAAACGGAAATACTTACATACATACATACATATTCTCGAGAGCCTCTGCACAGTCGCTCCAGGATTCTGAAGACTTTGCAATCTCCCCAAACCACAGTCTTAGGTGTTGTCCCCTCCACTGCTGGGTCAGAACCCTTGTCTCTAAATACCTTGCTATACGATTATTACTTCTTCAAGTCACATTTCTACCACAGGAAGGGCTTCACAGTCCTTTTCTGGGTTATACATCTGAGTCTTTGAAGACGTAGGCTGCAGATGCCACTGCTCAAAAATTCTCGGTTAGTGTGCCTAATGACGAGAGTTGGATCTCAACTTACACAGGGGCAGTGGGTGTGTGGCATAAATAATTCCAGTCTAAAGAAGTCCAGGAACCCTCCTCTACAATCTTCAAACTTTGCTAGACCCTTACCCATGATGCATTCTTTTATTCGGGTCTTTTAAAAGACATTCTCGCAAACCCACATGGTCTCGCACACCCTGGTAAGCCCGATGCTGATCCTAGGACCTATACATAGTAGAAGGAGAAGAGAAAGGACTCCCAAACTGTGTTCTCTCTCTGTCTTCCCCCACCACCCCCTTTTTTGTCTTCACACCCACCCCACTCCCTACCCCCACCCCACCCTCCACCTTACTTTGGCTAGGGCAAATGTCTGAAATAATCTGAGAAATGCGATCGGCCTTCATCTAATGATAACTTCCCAACTCCAATCTTTTTCAGCCAAATTAAAGAGAGCAGACAGATAATTGTGCTCTAAGGGATTTCCAACAGAAATCACGTTTTTATTTTAAATTTTTATTTCAAAATTCCCCCTCATTCTACCATTCATCTTTCCACGCAATTCATTATTTCCTTCCTCCCCTTGAACAAGGACTAGATCTTAATTAAAATGCAACCTCTAATTGCCTAAATGTGCTAAGTACCCGTACTAACCTGGCTTTTATTTTTTTTCAATCATGTTGTAAATTCTTCTCAGTTTAGAAAAGAAATAACTATCTCTAAAACAGAAAGTATGAATAGGGAATTCTATGATTAATCATTTCTTTATCAAAGCAGCAAGATAGTGGATAGTCTAACCTTCTAATAACTTTTTAAAGGAAGAATAGCTGCAACATACCATCACTGTCAGATGATATTCATGAAGATAGAGGTCAATGTTTGGCTTTCAAAAACAGATGCTGTCATTTATGCGAATGCCTTTTCAACTGTATTGCAGAGTGAAGTTCCAAGGTGTCTCTGTTTTAAATTCCCCAGCCCTGTTACCTGTTGCCAGTCTGTTGCGTTTTTTTTTTTTTTTCTTTTAATTAAAGTCATCTCGTTTTCGGGTACTTATCTCAGTGGCTATGGAAAACCATTAACTTGAGAATCATTGATATTCCAGACATTCCATCTTTGTCACTAGCGCAAATATTCAGTAAATATTAAAGTTTACCCTCCATTTTCCCTCCCTCCTGCCCTCCCTCTATCCCTCCTTCACTCCCCCCTCCCTCCCTCTTTCCCCCTTCCCCTCCTCCCTAAATGGGAGCTATAGGAAGACCCCTGTTCTCAGGACATTTCACACAAGCTGTGTCTCACATGCATGTCCTGTCCTCATCCTTATCTTCACTAGACTTCATTTTAAAAATATATTAATTTATCATTTAGTTTGGTTTTGGAAAGAGAAAACAGTATATATTGCTACACACTTAACACACTATTTGCCTTTTTAAAATATATACAAGACGTCATCCAGAAGCTGCACACAGATACCCTTCCTTGTTTCTCTCAACAATTTACATTATTTCCCATTGTAAGGATGAACTATATTTTGATGGAAAGATTTTAATTATTCTTTGTACCTCAGGAGATGTCTATTCAATATGATCTCCAATAGTGAGATTACTTCTGTGAAGACTGAAGATACATGTAGTTTTCCAATTACCCTATATAAGGAGTATCACTTTAGTATTTCAGCCAGAAACTATATAAAAATACCTATACCAGAGAGCATGACTCATGGGTCATTTATTCAAATTTGTGGGTCTTTGCCAATTTGCACATTTTAAATTATGTCTTAATGTAATGTGAAATTGAATCTCTGTTATTATTAATTAGCAAAATAGAACAGATTTTTATATAAATAAGCATCATTTAGATTTTTTGGTGTGTGTATTATTATTCATTTCTTCTCATTTTACTGTAGCACTTTTATGTTTACTTTCCAATTATTTTAAAGTATTCAATAACACTTTTTGTGTTCGAATTACAATTTGTTTTCCTGTGACATGAGTCCCAAATGCTCTATCAGTTCATCTTTTATTTACTTATGCTGTTTACTGCCATTAAAAGCTTTTCATTTTATATTAAATATTCAGTTATTTCCCAAATTGTTCTTAGATTGTACTAGATTTTGAAGGCACTAGTCAATTGGCATCCTTTGTTGCTGCACAGTTCTTTGGATGTTAACATGCGTAACCACAGGCACACACATGTAAACGCCATCAAACTCTGGATGCAACACATCAGATTCCATCTCCTTTGCACTCTCAACTCACCCATGTTATCTGTAACAAGTTCTTCCTATAAATTTTTTTCCTGTGAGTTTTTCAGATATACAATCATATCTGCAAGCTAGACTGGCTACTTTGTTTTATGTCCTTAAAGATGTTTTGTTTTGTTTTGTTTTGTTTTGGGTGTTGGAGGTTGACCCTGGGTTCTCCAACATTTTACCAAGCTGTGTCACCAAGTGGTGCCACCGCCTCTCATTCTTAAGTCTGTCATCTCTAATCACATTATCTCTTCTAATGTCATTGACAATTACCTCAAAGGATAAGCAAATTATTTTTGAACTCAGAAAATGTCTCCATTTTCTAAATTTAGATATTTATCTTTGTTCTGATTTGTAAATTCCATAGACCGTGTCTTGTTGTTTAGAAATGCTTTGACACTAGAGAAACAAAAAGTCAAATGATTGGCATCATAATTATCCTACAAAATATTACTGCAAAATTTTGATAGGCTTAAGTAGATACATAATTAGACCTTCAGAGAAATGTATAAATTAATAAAAGCTCTCCAACAAAAAATGTTAAATTCTCATCTATGTTGTTTTAATATTTCCAGTGCATTATTTACTTATCCCAGCTTCACATTTTAAATATTAAAATTGAAGGCTGGAAATCTAACTCAGTGGTAGAACACTTGCCTCACATGCATGAATCCATAAGTTCACTATTCAACACTTCAGAGAATGCAAATAATTTTAAATAAAAGTTTGAAAATGTAGTCGCTTTATATTTTTGCATCATTCCTAAATATGTGATCCCCAATTTTAAAGTAAATATTTAGAAACAAATTAACTTTCATGTTACTATTATACATTAAAGAAACAACAGAAAATCTGAGCACAGGCATTTTGAATGCCCTGTCTTCTTTTATTTTTTTTATGAGATAACAACAGTACATAACACAATAAAATATAAGATAAACCAGAAACTACCATCACATTGAGGTTGGACAAGAAAAACCAGTGACTGTCCCAGTCTTAAGAAAAGTTGAGAATAATTTCAAAATTTCAATTCTCATACACACACACACACACACACACACACACACACACACACACCAAAGTATTTGTAGGGTTTTTCTTTCTCAGTGCTATCAGAAAAGATATGTTCCAAGCCTCTCCTTTGATTTGTAGATGGCCATATTTTTATGACCACATTGTATTCTCTCTCTACACATGGCCCTATGTCCAAATTCCTCTTTTTACAAGGATGTTAGCCACATGAGATTAAAGCTACAACCTAATGACCTCATTTTAACTTGATTATCTCTGTAAAGACCCTGTCTCCAAATAAGGTCACATTCTGCATTCTGAGTTGCTGGAGATCAAGACTGTGATGTAAGAATTAGGTTGTATGGAAACCACATTAAAGTCTAATTAAGCAGTGTACTTTTGGGGTAGATGTTAAGAATGAAAATTGCTAGCAACCTGTTTCCTGCAGGGGGGGTGGGGTGAGAATTGTTAATCATGGGAACCTAACTGTGAATTAAGAATGTCTTTGGGGTAAGTCGGTAGCTCATGGTAGAGCACTTGCCAAATGTGTGCAAAGCTCTGGATTCAATCCTCAAAACTAAAAATAATTAATAAATAAATAGGGCCATGGGCCCTTTCAAGGGAGACTCTATCATAAACTTGATTGGTTAGCCCCGAAAGTGATTACTAGCCTTTGGGGATTCAAGTAAGAAACTGTTTTAAGAAAACATTGCTCTCACTGGAAAACACACAAAAGTAAAAGTATCTGGTTGTTCTTTTCAGAATATTTTAATGATATATTTCAGGAAATTTAATTATTTTAGACATCGAAGCAATAATTCCCCATTTTTGATCTGATTATGAGATAGAAATTTTTTTTAAAAAAATGTAAAATTAAAACTTACTGTTTACTTAATTAGAGGCAGCAGTACAATTTAGCAATAAATCCTGGTAAGTAAGATTCTGAATTGCATGATCACTTACTAATTCATTTTAATAATTCTAGGATGGCAATTCTAAGATGGCAATATAAGATGAGTCTGTTCTGTAGCCCATAAAGCTCTAACTTACTTAGCTCCACTTCCTTGTGGTTAAAATCCAGAATGATCCTCAGCATCCTTGTGTGATTTGAAAGGCAGCCAGGCCCCTGA